ACGTCATTCGAATTCGAAATGTAACAAGAATTTCATAATAATAATAATAATTATATTACAAGATCGTTAAAAGTTTCTTTTAATCTCGTGTTTGGATCTTTTCCTTTTTTTTCTCTTATTAAAATATATATGTGATCGATGTTTGTACAAACTCTAAGTAATTTATCCAATAAACTTTTACCCAAAAACCCTGTACCACCAGTTATTAAAACTTTTGCACCCGCGTAAAAATCTAAAACAGGTGATGATGACGTTTGTTCCATGGCGGACATGATGTTTATTTCTCTATGAAACAAAAATTAAATTTTAAACGTTTTTTTTTTTTTATTTAATCGTATGCAAATTTTTTTTTTTTTTTTATTAATTTAGTATTCATAACGATATTTATCGGAAATATTTGATTAAAATGTTATTTGACATACTTTTTAATAAATATTTTACGATTTCTTTTTTTCTGTAACGAACATTTTTAAATTTTCACCGCTTTTTTTTAACGTTTTTTTTTTTTTTAGCGGGTAAAATTTATGTGTAATCATCAAAGGACGCGATTCGGATCGGTAAAAAAATTAATAATTTTAAGTTTTTTTTTTTTTTTTTTTTACCAAAATTGATCTTTGCACTTGTTTTTCTTTTGAATAAATTAATAATTAAATTTATTTTACGAATTAAACAACGACGACAACAACAAAAACAATCGTATAATTTTTTTTTTTTTCACTATGAATTTTTATTACGGTAATAATAATAATAAAAATTGTTAAAATCATAAATTTTTTTTTTGTTTTCTTCATCGTCGTTAAAATATTTAAATCCATTCACGATAAATATAATCAAAGGAAAATTTTTATTAACGTACGGGATTAATTATTCGGGGGGGGGGAACGGTGAGGGGTCATCACATAAGGTTTTTACTATTAAAAATTATGCGTAAGAATTTTATTAAAAAAGTGTTTGTAAAAATGCGTGAATGAATTAAATTACTATTGAGATTTTTACGTACTTTGTATCCCGTCATTACGTATAATTCCTACTCCTTCTTCCCCTCCCCCCAACCCTCCCATCCATCCCTCCGTACATCCAGGTAAAAAATTATTATTATTTTGAGATATTACTAATAAAAAAAAAAAGGGAAAATATATATAAAATTTTTTCCTATCCTTGTACGTTTTCCGCCATAATAAAAAAAAAATCTCGTCTAACAAGTTTGTATAAAAACGTCATTAATTACATTAAATCGATTGTTTATAATAATAATAATAATAATAATAATAATAATAATAATAATAATAATAATAATAATCGTTGATGTAAAGGTTAAAGAAGATAGATAGAGAGAGAGAGAGAGAGAGAGAGAGAGAGGAAGCGAGAAAATCGTACGCAAATCATTTCTTATAAAAATAATTTTTTTAATAAAATAAATAATAAGAAAGTAAAATTATTATTATTATTATTATTATGATTATTAATAAATTTGATTATTTTCAACGTGGGAAAAGAAGACGTTCGGAAAATGAAAATGTCTCGTGTTCCAGGGAACAAAAAAAAAACTGCCTGGGGATACCTAGAATTCAACTTTTAAAAAAATCCAAATGACGTAACACATACGCGATTAGTGCAAAAAAAAAACGGAAATTTTTCCAACAAATTAATAATTAAATAACAAAAACCGGTTCGATAAATAAATAAATAAATAAAAGTGTTTCTAGAAGGTTAACGTAAATATTTATTATTATTATTATTCTTTTCCTATATTTTAATTTACAATTTTAAATGTGAAAACAGAAATGAATCAGAGAAAAAACCGTTAGAATTAATAATAATAATAATAATAAAAACAAGAACTTTATTCAACGTTTATTTAATAACAACAAAATAAATAAATAAATTTATTGATTTATTAACGACAAAAATTCTCTTATTAAAAAAAAAAAAAAAAAATGTCAATAACGTAAATAAATTTGCTTAGTTGTAATAATACTTATTAACCTTTTTTTTTTTAAATTTGAAATTATAATTAGTTTAAAATAATAATACTCATCGTTTAATTTACCAAATACTCCACCTTCCCCACCTCCTCCCCTCCCATTCCCTTCATACTTCCCCTCCCTCTCCCTTCTTTTATTCCCTCCTCTTTCCCATGATAAAAAATCACCCTTCATAAAATATGCGTATCGATATCATTATTATTATTATTTATAAATATTTCGTTTGATTAATTAGAAAAAAAAAGTTTTTGGCCTCCCCATTCGAACACCCGCCCCCTGCTCCCCTCCCCCCTCCCTCCTCCTCCCCCCATAAATATTTTTTTAAATTAATTATTATCGAAAAAATTAATTAATATTATTTAAACGAAACGTAACGGTTTTTTTTTACTATTTTTTTTTTTTTTGTGTCAATTTACTGTTACATCGTACCTTTGAAAAACAAAAACAATTATCGATTATCGATTATTGATTAGAATAATAATAATAATAATTTATTTCATAAATTTAATTAATAATTTTTTTTTTTTTATTAAAATTTAATTAAATGATTATTATGATAATTATTAATAAATTATGGATTAAATTTTTTTCTTTTATGTTAATAAATTAATAAATTAAGATAAATAAATAAAAATAAAAATAAAAGTTATGAAGAAAAATAAATAAATAAATGATTTGGAAAAGTAATCTAATTTTCCCTTTCCTTTTTATTTCCGGTTAAAAAAATAAATAAATAAATAAATAAATTCACTCACTCGTTATTTATTTAATTTTGTAATAAATAATTTTATTTTATGTAATTATGTAATTTAAAAACAACAAACAACAAACAAAACACGACAATGTTTTATATATAATAAACGACCCAATCACTCAATAACTAAACCATTACCGGATATATCCCAACTATTTATTAACGCCGGGTGTTTTATTATAAGTTAAGTGTTAAAACGGTATAAGCGACAATTCGACTTTTAAAAAAAATTATATCGTTATTTATTATTTTAATTGACTTGCATATCATACATATGTAATTTTTTTCCCTTTTTATTTATTTATTTATTTTTATTTCATTTAAATAATTATTATTATTATTATTATTTTTGACGTCATTTTGTTGTTACTTTTGTTTAAATAACATTTAATAGAAGAAAAAGGAAGCGAGGAAAAAAAATTTTCGTATTTTAAATTAATTTTTTTTTTTTTTTTTTTAAATTCAAACCTTATTAATAATTAAAGAGTTTTTTTTTAAATTAAATTTATGTGATATGTAAACTATATATTAAGTGAAAATTTAAATTTTTTTTATTTGGTAAATAAATAAATAAATGAATAATGGGTAAAAGATTACTCTTTCTTTGTTTATTCTTCCTCATTAATGGCGGACAATAAAAAAAAAAAAAAATTAATTAAAAAATTTTTTCATGTATTTTATTGAATCGATCAATTACGTGCGACCTTGTAATTTATTTATTTTCAATTATATACATACATACAGGTACGGTATGAAAAAAAAAAACCTTTAATTAATTAATTATTACAACTCATTATGAGTAAATAAAATTAAAATAATTCTACGGGTAAATATCATTTCTCTTCCTTCCCCGTGCCCACCCCCCCCTCCCACTTCTCCCCCATCCTATTATTATTATTATTATTATTATCTAAATCAATCGTGGAATAAAAAAAAAAAAAAAAACAATGAGGTTAACCAAAAAAATAAAAATTTATTTAATTTTTTTTCTTTTTATCTCTTTCCATTAGATCCAAAGTTCTGAAAACTTTTTTCTTCAATTCTTTTTGCCTTTTAAACCTTTTCATTTCTTCCCCTTTCATCACCTTTTCGTGTTTTTTAACCCTTTCCGCCATGGCTTTCCTTTCCATTTTTTTCTTATGTTGAAAATTCGTTTTTAACATTCTCATTAATTCCGACACCTGTAAATTTAAAAAATTTAAATCACATTTTTCTCTCCAACAAAAAAAAAAAAAAAAATTAAATTTGTAATTTATGATAAATGAATGAATTGTAATAATATTCATAATAATAATAATAATAATAATGAATAATGTATTATTTTAAATAACCTTTTGTTCTTGTGGTTCTTTAATTACGGCAACTCTTTCCGGTTCATTGTTCTTTTTACTTTTTACAACAGCAGTCTTTGGTTTGTCTTTATACGGGAGTGCTTTTTGCAAAGATGCGGGTATTCTCAAAGGTTTGAACCTTTTCTCCTTTCTAACGATGGGCTGTAAAATTATAGGATTTTTAATAAAATTTCCATCATCGTGGTGGTGTCATTTAAAAAAAAAAAAACTTACAGTGTACAGGCAATCATTTTGTATTTCGTTTTTAATATTTCTTTCTCGTTTCAATTGTCCGAGAGTTTTCATTCCCTCCCAGTTAGTTTTCCTCTCGGGTGGCAAAAGCAACGTCGTCATCGGATTGTAAAATTTAGGTACGTCAACGGAATACCACGTTCTGCAGAAAACAATGTCGCTAAGTTTGATTTTGTCTTCGAATGTCGCACGGAAAACTCCTTCCGGTTTGCCGACGGCTTTTTTTATTTGACCCCTGATACCGGAAACGGTTCGAATTTTAGCACCTGCGAAAGGCAATGCAATTTGAAAGAGGTTAATTAGGTTGCGTTTTGTACGTCTCTTCGATTTGAATAATTTACCTTCGAATTTTCCGACTTCTAAAACGGTGTTAAACATTCCCTGTATGAAAGCCGTTTTATTGTAAATTTTCAATGGAGTTCCGACCAATTTAAGTTTTTTAACGACGGAAACGGATTTGTCTATTTCCACTACGGCCCCAGTGCAAGCTATCCTAAAACCAGGCTGGAAAAAACCAAAAAAAAATAAATTTAATCTCGGAGGGGCACGCGGGTATGTTAAACATATATATATTTTCGTACCGTTCTGTTGGCAACATCTTGAATTGCTAAAAATCCGGTACCCTGAGGTGTGATGGGACCGAAAAAATGTCCCATGCAAGACACGTGTTCAGGCGTGTATTTGAGCATTCTTTGTCTCATGTTATCTTCGAGCTTGCTGTAAACCAATAAAGTTTGAAATCGTCTCCAACCTAAAGAAACGATCAAAGGATCTTTAGTCTTTAAAATTTTCCCGTACCATCTGTGTTTTTTTAACCTAACCTAAAAAAAAAAAAGGAAAAAAGGAAAATGAATTTTTTCTCCGAACGATAATTTTTAAAACAAAGTCTACGCATTTTTTTTTACCTGAATATAACCGATATTTTCCTCTATGGGTAATAATCCTCCGACAATCAATGGATAAGTCGGATCAAAATTTTGTACAAATTCGCAAGGCACGTTTCCCAATTCGATTCTTATGTACATTCCCGGTCTGTAACCCTCCAATTCAACTCTCAAATCGTCTGCTAATCCATCAAATTCTGACTTATTAATCTAGAAATAATTATATCGTTATTAAAAATTGATTCGTGGACCCTAATAATAATTAAATAATAATAATAATAACCTGGGCCTGCTGATCCATTTGTGCTTTTAAATCATCGTAATAAGAATATTCTTCCTTGTCGTCATATTCGGCATCGAATTTTTTTTTCAATTTTTTCTTTTTTTCAATGAGAGTTTCTTTTTTGTCTTCGTTCGGTTTTTCAACTTCGTGTTTTTCACCCGTTTCTAAATCTTCGAAATCTCCAAAAGCATCGTCCGATGACAAATCGTCCAGTTTTAAAAGTTCCTCAGCATCTTCTGATTTTTTCCACTTTCCCGTCACGAAGCAGTCTTTTATCAACACTTTCACCTGAAATGGAGGCCATTTTTTTTGTGTTTTTCACATTCGCGTCGTCGTAGGTTCTTAAATTTTCGAATTATATATACCTCATCGGATGTCCAATCTCTTACATAAGAGGGTATAAACAGGCTGCTGTCGTATTCGTCCAATTCATCTTTTTCAGTCATTTTCCGTCGTTGTTTTTCACTCACTTTATGAAATATTCCACCGATTTCGTCTTTTTCTTCTTCCATCATCTCTTCATTATTTGCGTAGCCGTCAAGCATTTTTTTCATTCCTCCTATAAAATTCAATTAAATTTTCTATTTATTTTTTTTTTTTTGGGAAATAAATTCATTATTTACATGTTAAATCTTACCGTAGACTAATTTGTAGAGATTTTGAGAATTGTTTTGTCTCGATAAGAAAGCATCCGATGCTTTTTGAGCCAAATTTTCTTTCCATCTTACCGCGGATGTTTCAAAATCACAAATTTCTTCTTCTTCCTCCGTCAGTTTTGGTTTTTTCGTTTCTAACTCGTCGTGACTTTCCGAATTAATTATTTTTCTTTTTTTAATATCATTTTTTTCATTCTCTCCGTTAACATTTTCTTCTTCGTCCGTACTAAATCCAGATTCACTATCTATTCCAGACGAATCATCGTCCGAATCGTAACGAACAACATTTTTCAAATTATTTAAAGCATTTTCTATTTTTGCTTTGATCGGATTTTCTCCTTGTAAATGACTATTCGCGGAATCTTCATTTTTAACATTTTCAATAGAATTATTATTATTATTATTATCTGAGTCTTCATCGTCTGATTCATCGTCAGATTCCATGTCATTCACATCATTTAAATTTAATTCGTTATTAAACACAACTTTTCGTCGAATTCTTCCATCGCATTCTACATTTTCTTCGACAAAACTTTTCGCCAACCCTTTTTCATTTTCATCCTCTTTCTCACTCTCACTGTCTTCAGAGTCCGTCATTTCTTTTTTACCATTGTTTTGATTTATCGAGATAAGATTTTCATTTTTTTCTTCGATTAAATTTGTATCGGTAAACCTTCCGTCATCTTTAAACTCTTGAGCCGAAATCGGTTTAGAATTTGAAAATATTTTCATTTCGGATCTTTCCCTTTTTAAATCGATGGCGTCTTGCATCGTGAGCATGGAACTGACTAATTCTGTTCCTTCGTTATCTCTGTCCTTCAAATACAAACAAAAAAATTTTTAACATTATTTTATTTTAATTTAACGATTTTTTATTCATTTTGTTTTTTACCTTGAAACTATGACTTCCAGCCAATTCGACATAAACTGCATCTTTATCATACACTACGCCACCCACGCCGGAAAAGGGTGCATATATTGTTTTTTCTCTTTCTAACAATGATCTCTTTTTTCTTTCTGGCAAAGGGCAAGGGTCTGGTAGAAAATTTATATTTTTAATTTTTGAATCTCCATATCCGGGAATATGAACACTATTTTCCCTGTTGAGAGCCACCCCTCGAGCAAATCCATACAAACAAATATTTCTATCACATTTAGAATTTTGCCTAATGTTTTCAGGATCTGTTATATCTTCTAATCTATCAACTTGAAAACATTTTATTGTTAACTAACTAACTTTTTTGATTTAAAAAAATAATACTAATGATATTTAAATTTACCTAAAACATAAGGATGAGTAGTTCTCCAAACTAAAGGTCTAAGTTTAATTACAGATATAAATCTTCCTAAATTTCTTATATCGTTTTTAAGATATTCCCCGTGTATTATTCCAGAAAGATAAAATAACTTTGCTCCGGCATAAACTTCCGTCCAAAATCTATGCTTTAATGTTTTTTTAGTTTTTTTTAATTGTTTATTATTCTTGAGTAAATCTAAATGAGTTAAAACACCGAGAATTTTAGGCATTCCATGTATCTAAAATGTTATTAAAAAAAAAATAGTTGTGTCTCCCTTTATATAAATAATCCAAGGTAATTTAGGAATAAGCCAATTATATAATTTATCAACATCTAACCTGACATATGTTTAAAAATTCAAATATTTCCATTTCGAACCCGAATGAGGCATCAACGAGTAGCAAAACTAAATCGGCTACTTTTGCAAGATCAATCATGGAATTTATATCATTGTTACATTCTATGAGTGTGATCCTTAATTTTTTACCTATCACTAATGTAACTGGTCCCTTGATTACTGTTAATGGTTGCTTAGTAAAATGCTTTATCAAATTTTGTATAAGAGTTGTTTTACCAACTTTTGGAGGGCCAACAACCACCACCTATAATAATTAAAATATTATTTGTGATATTCTTATTGAAGGGATTTACACGTATGAGAGTAAATCATCTTATTAAATGTTACCACAAAAGGCGGAGGTTCAACTGGGTTACGATCAACAACAGGTATGTGTTGTTTTTTAGTATCTAAATCTTGTTTCCTACGAAATTTTCTTTCGGCTTGAACAGCACTTTTAAAAGCGAAAGCTTTTGGATTTCTTTGCCGATCAGTTAATTCTTGAACATGTTTATTTTTGGCTTTTTTCTTTTCGGCTTTCCGCCCTGATGAATAAGTTTAACACGAGATTTTTTTTAAACGGTTATATATTTAATTATACATGTAAATCAATTTAGGTTATGAACCACATGGTTCGTATTACATACCGGATAATGGAGTTCTGTGTGCTTTTTTTTTCAAAGCATCATCTTCATTAAATTCTTCTCCCATTTTTAACGGGAAAGTAATTCAAAATAATCGATTTAAATTAATTAAAATCGATTTTTAAAAAATAAAAACTGTAACGACCCATCTCACGGTATTAACTCAATATCGTGGCACTAGAATTAAACGGATTAAAGTAATTATAAACATTAACAAGTAAAATAATATATTTGAAAAGTAAAATTCATATAATTTTTTTTTCTAAATAATTAAGTTTCAAAAACTACATTTTTTTAAAAAAAATATTTATTTGGAAAGTTTCCATTTTTGTTTTTCATCATTAATTAATGATTCCATTTTAATAAACTTGAGCAATTGAATTGCGCTATTATAATACATTAAAGTATGGCTGCTCTTTTTGGAGTGCACGTTGGTAATTCTTCTGCTTGTATAGCTATTTATAAAGATGTAGGTAAAATGATAAATATAACTTTACGTTTTATTTTTTAAACTTCCATTTAAATTCTATTTACCGACAGATCGTAAAATTATAATTGTAATTTATTTTGATACATTAAATAAAAATTCACCTGGTGAGGTTATTTTTATCACGTTCATATTTAACTAATAATGGGTAAAAAGGTTTAAAATAATTTTAGGAAGAACGATCAGACATAGTTGCAAATGATGCCGGAGATAGAATAACTCCGACAATTTTACAATGGACTCCTAATGGGTGTACAATAGGAAGAACTGCACAGCTTGAATTATTTAGAAATGGTGGAAACACAATAGTTAGAAACAAACAGCTTTGCAACAGTAACATAGATGATGATGAATTAAACTATTTAAAAACTCAAGTACCTTATAAAATTCAAACTCACAATTCCGAATTAAAATATGAAATTTTGTACGAAGGAAAACAATATCATGTTTCTCCAAAAGAAGTAGCAATATCGATATTCAAAAAAATCCTCTGTTTGTATTTTTTTTACATTTCATATAATTCCCTCCCTCAATATCTTTTATTTATAATTTATTTGATTTTATTTTAGCCATTGCACAATCAGCAGTAGGCGTAAATACTGAAATAAAAGTCGTCGTTTCAGTACCACTTTATTATTCTCCAAAATCAATTCAAGTTATTAAAAATGTTGCCAACAAAGCAGGATTTAATGTTTTGCAAATAGTCGATGAAGCATCTGTGGCAGCTTTAGGATGTGGCCTTGGTTTAGATATAAAAGAACCTCCTTAGTAATATAAAAATGAACTTATATGTAAGTTATATAAATTTCTAACTTTTTAATTACATCCAAATGATAACTTTCAGCTACTGCTTAGTCTACAGAGTGGGAGGATATTCAATAGATGCGACAATACTTTTAATTCAAGATGGAATGTTTTTAGTAAATGGATATTCTCATAAACATAATTTAGGAGGTAATTCTTTCACTGAAAAACTATCAGAATTTTTAGCTAACGAATTTAAAAGGTAAAATTAATAACATGTATGTGTTTGTCTTTGAAACAAGCAAATTAATTATGAGTTATGAAATGAAATGAATTTTCAGACAATATAGAACGGTAGAAATATCTGAAAGGGGAAAATACAAATTGAATTCTGCAGCAGAAGTAGCAAAGCAAGTATTATCTATTCAAAATGTGGCACAATGCAGTTGCGAAAGTGTAGGAGGTGGATATGATTTTAATTGTTCGATATCGAGACCTCGCTTTGAAAGTTTGATATCTCCCCTGATACCCGAAATCATTGAACCAATTATGGACGTCCTAAAGAAAAGTGGTCTTAATAGCGAAAATATTAAGAAGGTATGCATCGCTCCTGATATCCATACATTTTCTTATTGCTTAAAAACACGCATTAATGTGTTTTGGACGATATCATCACAATAGGTAGTAACATGTGGGGGGTGTTTGAAAACTCCCAAACTACAGGATACCGTTCAAAAAATGTTTCCCTCATCCGAGGTTATCAATTCGAGTCCTGATGAAATTATAGCACTGGGAGCCGCTAAACAAGCCGGTTACCTAACAGGATACGAATTTACATTTGATTCATTAAGTATAGACACGCCGCTACTATCGACATCATTATTACTTAGGGTCAGTTAATTTCATTTTTAACACGAGAAAATATAGCAATTAATAATAATGATGATAATTGTTACAAAATCAGGTTAAAAAAGAAGGAGGGAAGGAGGAGGAGGAGGAGGAAGAAACGATACATTTAATATTGGAAAATACGACAGTGCCATTAAAAAAAAAATACGACGTACACT